TTAAATAATAAATAGTTCAAAAGGCTGCAGATGTAAAGCGCTTTCGATATAGTTCGATGGGTTTCCTAATGCAGTTTCACAAGTAATATTTAGCTAGTAACATGATTCAGAAGTGATAGTGATCTACCTGTAGTGCTTTACAATAATATAATACCTCACACACACACACACCTGTTGCAGGGCATTAAGTGTGTCTGATATAATCGAGTGCAGCTAATTGTCAATGCTCCAGAGTTGAGTTCAAAGGCCGAAGGACAACAGTTGAACTGCTGTCAGCACGCATCGCACTGGCTGTCGCTGGCGCTGACCCGCAACTAACTGCAGCAGTAGCAGCAGTAGCAGCAGCAGCAACAGCAGTAGCCACGCCCACGGCCGCCTCTGTTTGCCCCAGCTGCTGACACGCTCTTAATGGGCCGCACTTGCAATTGGATTCTCTGGAGGGCCATTGCTGGGGCTTAGCCGTGCAGTGCCGAGCAGCTCCATTTGCTTTGGTTATGCTTGGCTAGCAAGTGCTTTCTCTTCTTCTTGTTGTTGTTGTTGTTATTGCTGCAGTTGTTGGCCATTGAATTGGTCAGAAGCGTTGGCCAATCGGACACGTCTAAATGCACTAATAATGGTAATGATTTGAACTCGAACACGACGCAATGGACGCAACGGTGCATGAATTCAATTTTAATACAACTAACAACAAGTGCAGACACGTACAGACAGACAGCCAGAGGGACGGACAGACGAACGGACGAAGAGTCGGAGGTATGGCCAGAAAGACTGGCAGACAGACAGACAGACAGATGGACGCTTAGATTGCCATGGCAGCAGACGGCACAAGAGGCTTCTGTTGTTGGGTGAGCGAAATTATTTTACGTTGATTAGAATCAACATAAATAAAATTAATTGTTGCCGCTTCGTCTGTCTCGTTCGCTTTTCAGGGGTTGCATTCAATTTGATTATTAGCATTTGCTCAACCGAAACGCACTCGACTGTGCCACAGGCCACAGTGCAACCGGCTGCTGTAGTGCCCCCAGAGGGTTGCTTGAGCTCATGCTTGAGTCACTTGTAGCTGGCCAATTTTTTAAGGCTTGCGCTGGGATGTGCCCAAGATGTGACAGTAGTGGGCCTTAGTGATGAGAAAATACTAAAGGAAATTCCATCTGAGTGCGTGAGAAGTGCGTCACGTCAAGAGATGGGAATAAGGGGGAGTATGTAAATAAAAATAGTAAAGTAAAAATTTTAAATGATTGTTGAGCACAAATAAAGTAAGTCGAAATGTGTAAAATATATATTT